ACCCTACCCTTTTCCGGCTCAACACCATGGTCTCGGATTTGGAGGCACTGATCCTCATCCCGGTCGCTTCACACTCAGCTGTGAAACGCTCCAGCAAGAGCTGGAGATCAGGATCTGATGAAACCAGTAGGACCACATCATCCACAAAAAGCAGAGATGTGATTCATCTCAGTTCAGTTTATTTAAATGGGACCAAGTCAGAACAAATGTCTCAGGGCAAAAAGCAATAAATCATCAGTAACTTCATTAATCCTGACATCATTAACTGGTTAACGGTATTGAATAAGTGCTGAGTCATGCTGGAGATGGAGCTTCGTGTTMTTGTTCGGTGTCCTGCTGTCTTGGATCTGGTCTTCTGATGACCCCCACACGTGAAGACAGGGTCTTATTTTCATACTGTTTTATTTTCGGTGATGTTTGGTCAATCATAGCACAGAAACAGCTGCACCTACAACATGAAACGTGTCAGGACTGTAGYTGAGTCCAGCCTACACTGCACCAGCTAACGGTTTTATGATAGACCCCATATCTGAGGAGGGGGCTCCACTTGAAAAGGGGTGTGGGGGTCTGGACCAACAAAAATGCTTATAACTGAAGAACCATTCATCACAGGAGCTTCAGATTTTTATTTTATTTTATTTTTTAGCTCTGATGAAGGGGTATCCATCGGACCCACCAATGAGTACACCCCACCCTAGACCCCCACCCAAAACACTAAACATGTCCTGGTGAGTTCTGCGGGGGTCCTGAGCTCTGCTCTGTTGGAACCAAATGTTCTTGTCAGAGTTCTCCGAGTGGAACATTAACCTCCTAACATCCACTGATGGAAACTTCTAACTCATTCATCCTGCAGCTTAAACTTTACCAGAACTCTGGAGCATTTTTACTAAGCTCGCTCAGATTAGTAATCCCTGACAGCACTGTGAACGAGGCGGACAGAAGAGGAGAATACAGGTCAATGACAGGAAATAAGACCCATTCTGTTGTTTCTCTGGGCTTTCATGGAGGAGATCCAGTGACCTCTGACCTCTGAGAGGAAACCGTCTGGATTAGTCTCGTTAAAGCAGCTTCATTTTAAAGGAACAATCCAAAGAGCTGACTCAGCAGAATTTTAAATCCTGTAAACATATTTTTAAAGGTTGAAATGATTCAGTCAGGATTTATTTATAGAAAGGTTCAGTTACATCATCTTTCTTTATTCATTATGTATAAGTTTTCATCAGGACCTCCTCCTCCTCCTCCTCCCTGTGTGAACTGAAGTGTGAGATCGAGAGGAGGAAGAGGAGGCAAACATTAACGGCAGGAGGAGGAAGGAGGAGGAGGTGGAGCGTTTATAGGAGATGAGGAGGTAGAAGCCCAGAGAGGAGAAGAGGAGGGAGGAAGAGGTGCAGAGACGGAGGGAGGAAGAGCCACACAATAAGACAAAGACAAAAGGAGGKGGAGGAGGAGGAGCACCATGCTGAGGAGGAAGAGGAGCGTTTCATTCGGAGGCTTCGGCTGGTGAGACTCTGATCCTTTTATCAACTAAAAACACAAAAATCCTTTCTGCACAGGATTTTATTTCCTCATCTGAATGACATCATCACTGTGACATCATCGCTGTCACAATAGTCATCAGTTTTGTTTGTTTTGTSTTTTACTTCATTTAATCTGTAGTTCCAACATTACCTAATCTAATAATCTAATCTGCTGCCCTTTGTTTCTGTCAGTTTTAATTCATAATCTAAGATATCCTGAACCAGGGGTCTCCAACCAGCAGCTGGTGGGCTCTTAAAGGAGCTCTTCAGAGCTCATGAAAAATTAGAAGTTAAATCTAATTTGTCCCTGGCTAACCAAACTTTAATTACATGACAGTTAATCTGTAGATGTCCCTTCCCTGGTTGTCATTCAGATTATGTAAAGTCAGTGTTCTTTGTGATGCTTTCATGGGAACTGAAGACAAGGTTTTTGTGCAAATCAAGCTTATTCCTGTGGTTTAAGTTWAAGTTTAAAATTAAATGTTGTAAAAAGTAGTTCTGGGACAATTTTATTTTGTGAAGAAGCTCTTAAGGGAGAAAAGGTTGGAGACCCCTGTCCTAAACTGAGCTAACATAAGCTAACTTAATCTAACCTATGCTAAGCTAACCTAAGCTAAAATGACCTAACCTAAACTAAGTTAGCTTAAGCTAAGCTAAGCTTACTAACTTGTCTTCTTCTGAATGGTTGTTCTGGACTGTAATTTCATCGTGCTCTGCACAATGACAAAGTTCTATCTAATCTAATCTAATCTAATCTAATCTAATCTAATCTAATCTAATCTAATTTACTTCAGCTAAAATGTTTAGAACTATAAAAAGAGAGACAGCACGGAGACACACCTCCGTTAAACTCAGACAGTGGGCGGGGCTTATCGGGACTATCTGCCAACCACGTGAGGTGTTTCAGTTCCACACAGTGACAGTTTGAGACTTGTTTTGTGTCTGCCTGTCTGATGAAGAGGCGTTGCAGGCTCCGCCTCCTCCTGCATCAGATCAACAGAAAGGCCAGGATCAGGTGACTCAGCAGATTCTGCATCACTTCTCTCATCCTTCCAACATGGCCGCCCTGAGTGTCCCGAGACATTTAGTCAGATTGTTTTCTTCTTGTTTCGGGTGGTTTATGTTTATATTTTATTTATTTATAACAGGATGTTCTTCTTTGTTTAGTTAGAGTTTTCCTTCAGTGCGTGCTTCTTGTCTGTAGATGATTTCTTCCTGAGCAGCGACAGCTCCTCAGTGCACAGACCAGGTGAAGTGAGGAATTTAAAGCAGCTCCTTCAGTAAATCTGTGTCTGAAGTGTGTGAGCAGAATACAGACTGCTGTTCAATCATTCACATCCTCCAACCTGTCCTCCTTCATCCTCCTCTTCCTCTGCTCGTCTCCTGTCTGTCCTCATGTCCTCCTTCATCCTCCTCTTCCTCTGCTCGTCTCCTGTCTGTCCTCATGTCCTCCTTCATCCTCCTCTTCCTCTGCTCGTCTCCTGTCT